TTTAGAAGGCAGTTCTGCAATCCTTGCATTGAATAATACTTGTTCTGGCCAATAACCCCAAACCCCACAAGCAGGAATGCTGGAATCACAGAAACACAGAGCTGGAACAAACCTCAAGAGGTCATGCAGTACTTCCTCCTGCCCTCTGATCAGAGCTGCCTTCCTGGGCTGACACTCATCCAGCCAGACATCTCCCATGCTGGAGCTTTACTGCTTCTCCAGCAATCTATCTCACTCTACTTCCCTATCCCTACCTGATGTTTTCCTTAAAATAAAACAATCTTCCCTGATTAAAATCAAGTCCATTATCTTTTATTCTCTCTGTTTCAAAGAAAACAGATTATCACCCTTCATTTACCTCTTCTTTAGACTAAAAAAAAAATATAAATCCCAATTCTTTACCTTTCCTCATTTATATTCTCATTATTTTTGCTGGCTTCCTCTAGGTGTTCTCCAGCTGAGCTGTATCTTCTGGGGCAACACCCAGAAGATTGGGATTAGTGGTCCTGGGATGAGTGAGAAGAGGGGGGCTATGTGTCCCTGCTCTCAGCCAGGGGACTTCCCTTTTCACAATACCAGGGCACTGTTGACTCATGCTCAGCCTGTGACATCCCAGATTATTTTCTGCTCTATCTACTGTTTAGCAAGCTGTTCTCTGTCCTGTCTTTCTGCATTTAATGGTTCTCGTCTAAATGTTTTATCTTGCATCAGTCCCAATCTATCCTCATTTTCTCCTGGATTATATTTCTAACTTTCAAGATAATTTTGAATTCTAAGCTTGTCCTCTACCACATCAGCAGTGCATGTAAATGTTACAGGAATGCCTTCCACTACATCATCCAGGTAACTAATAAACAAACTGGACCAAGGACAAACTGAAGTCTTGATTCTGTATTTCTTCTATTAAGCAATATTGTCTGATAACTTTGCATCTAAGGAATTATTCACCCATTTAAATACAAGTGAACTTGAGCCAGAACTGAGAAATGAGGTCCTTAGAGTACAGATGTATTAGTAACACAGAGGGTTGCAGGTATTTTTTCCCAGCAGGAGAGTAATAAACAAGAATGTGCAGCTAAAGCCCATTTGGAAAGAAGATTGGACAGGCTACAGTAATTTTCATGCCACCAATTTTCTTTCCATCACCATAGCAGTTACATTCACCACAGGAAACCCACTATAATCTGTCACAATACAGGCCTTATGCTTTTGGATTTAGAATGTTTTGAAAAACTTTTTCATAATTTTTCAAAATCCCACACATAGATGTGCAGGTACCTTTAATTTTCCTGATTTCTTGTTTAAGCTCTTACTCAGCAAGACTCTGACACAATTGAAGTTGAATACACACAAACATTTTATAGTTAGATACTTCAATGATCAAAGCAGTTATGACCTGTAGGCTCACAGAAAATTTGGGGGCTGGTTTTTTTTGAACTAGAATATAAAAACTGTTATAATAGATTTCAGAATAAGTCCACTCAAGTGCAACATCTAATACTGTGTAACACTGGATACTTTGGGAAACAGGGTAAGAAATAGTTTAATAGGTGATTGCTTCTTCCTCTAACACCCTCTCCAGTTCTACCAATGGTTTAGGTATTTTCTGAGCTAGCATTTCTTTTTGCATCTGGGTCATCACATGTGTAATCTTCTACTTGACTAATTTCAGCTACTATTATTTCAACTAATTTCAGTATTCCTTAAACTGAAATGGATAGTATAAACCCCCTGGAATTTCCCACTGCATGCAGTGCCAGGGCTCTATTGATTCCCATCTCATAATGCCAGCATGCATTCATCAGTGATTTGGCCTGAGACATTTTTGAAAGATTTGTCAGAAACTATCACGTGAAAATTAAAAGGACAGAAAAAATGACTGCAGAATTAAATTATTCATTTTTCCACAGGGATGATGGAAAAAAAGGACAGTCTTTAAAGGATTAGAATAAATCAGCTACTGCAATCAAATCTGCAAATGCTGCAAAATTGAAGGGTGATTGCAAATGCTGCTGAAGCCACATGAGGTCAAAATTTTAATGAAGTTCCACTAAAAATGCACTAAAAGCAGCAATTGCACGACTGAACTAAAAATCTGAGAAACAAGGTTAAAAAGGAAATAAGATGGATGCTACATTTGCAGTTTCTGAAACATTAGCTCAAACATTCTTAAACTGCTCATCAAAGAAAAAAAAACACATTTTCCACACTGGGACAGATTTCTCTCAGTTCAGTTCCTGTGTGCCTAAAGATAAAAGACATGCTTATCAAGCAGTATATAGATGTGTGGAGAGCAGGGAGGGACAATGCCCCACTTCTACCTCAAGAGTCCTTTTATGTCTCATGAATTTGTATGTGCTTGGCCTTTTTATTTTAAGTTTACAACCTCCACTGCGCCACCACAAACATCCTGAGTGTGCAACACTTGGTTTATTTCCCTTCCTGTAATTCTTACCTTCGACTCCGATGCTTTGCATGTGCAGAATATCAGGCGTGGTAAATTGCAAGCAGTGAGACCACTCGTGTATGTGTCTGTTGAAATGGAAAAAGCAGAAAATGACACCTCATTTGAAAACTAATTTTGGTTGCCAATCCTGTTTGCAAGCATTCACTTCAGCAGAGTGATTCCTCCCATGCCAGTTGTCTCATTTTTCTCAGAGGAACAAAAAGGTAGAAATAGAGTCTGACCCCTTTTACTGCAAAGTGTGTTGAGGAGAAGGGCAAGGAAAATATTTGTAACGTAATAAAAATTGAGAGGCACCTCAAAAAATGCATGAGCACTTTATTTTTACATCTTCCTAACTAGACTGTACTTCTGTAGCTTGCAAAACATAAAAATTACGGTCTATCAGGTAGTTTGACTAATTCTTTTGTACCACACCAAGTGTACTTTGTTCTGTTAAGAATCAATACAAACAATTTTGGTGAAATTTTCTGATAGTTGCTGATGAAAGGAAGATGAAAAAAAACCAGGAATATGGAAAAAGGGATGAAGAAATCTGGGCTGGGCTTTTCGCTGTGTTGCTTTGTTCATGACATAACTAGAGACTTTTATTTCAGTGACTCAGTTCTCTCATCTGTAAAACAAGGATAACATTTGAATGTCTCTCAGTGGAATGGTGAAATTTAATTTCAACATGTGTATAAAGCACATGGAGATTGTTAAGTGGTAAGATGTTATTACTACATATTATAAATATAAACCTGGGAAATTTGGCACCAAATGTGTAGGGTTTTTTTTCCCTTTAGCTGCCCTTTTGTTTTAAATAATAATAATTGACACTGTAACCTCTAAACCACTAAACTACATCACCTCCTCTCTAGCATAAGATCCAAATGCCTCTTAAAAACACTTCTGATTTAGTGGACGGTTGGACTGGATGATCTTTAAGGTCTCTTCCAATACTGACAATTCTTTGGTTCACTTTATTCAGCACTGAGGTTATGTATCACTTTACCAAACATGTATATCAGTTATCAAAATTTTTAACTATTTATACATTCTAGCAAGCAAAGGAATCAGTGATTATTTGCTACAAGTTACATAATTCTCTTATTAATGAGTACTCTAACTTCTATTTGTTAATGATTCTCTCACTTCTCATGCTAATTAGTCTGCAGGCTCAGTTTCTTCTTTTGGCTCCCGGGGTTGCTTGGCTTGCTGGTCTGTGTGTCGGTGGTCGCAGATCCCCCTACGAGAATCACCTTTTACCCGCTTGGAGCTGATTTTAGCACAATTACCAAGTTGGTTTTATTAGTTTCTTCCTTATCTTGGCAGTTCTGGTTGCCTATAAATTCCGCATTCCTTTGTGTCCATTACCAACAGTATATCCCTCTTCCCAAGCCAAGCTAACTTCCTCCCCCAGGTCTGAAAGCCCTACACTTTAATCTGTTTTTCTAACACATAGACATCACTTAGAGCTCGCTCATTAGCTGATATTTCATGGTTTAAATCTATGCTCTTGTTGATTAAGTCCTAACATTTCCCCTTTGACCATATCCTAACATTTTCCCCCACGTCTGCATGGTCCCCTTTTTTAAAGAAATATAACTCCTTCAGTAGCAGTGTCACCAAACAGGATGAAAGAAACTTATCCAACACCAGTTTGGTGTGAACAAGCTGACATTTCTTTATTCGGCGCGCTGGGAACACGGGTGACAGCTCCTCCAATCGTGTTCCCCAGACAACAAAAATCATACAGATTATACACCACATTGTTACAGAAATCCATTCTTCTATTAATTTTTATACTTCTTTTCTGTTACATAAGCCTATTCTTATAGCTAATCACAGAATCAACTAGGTTGGAAAAGTCCTCTGGCATCATCGAGTCCAACCTTTGACCCAACACTGCCTTGCCTACTAGGCCATGGCATTGAGTGCCACATCCAGTCTCTTCTAAAATACCTCCAGGGATGGTGAATCCACCACTTCCCTGGGCAGCCCATTCCATTGTCTGATCACTCTCTCTGTAAAGAATTTCTTCCTAATATCTAACCTAAAGCTCCCCTGGCACAGTTTAAGACTGTGCCCTCTTGTCTATGGCTGTTCAGACAACGACTGGTTCCAGAGACCTTTATTCGAAAACGATCACTGGTTAATTCGACTTATTTCTACAGATCGTTACCCGAGGCACCCAGAGCAAGATGGGAAGGGTTAAAGAGGATTCCAAGCAGCGTACATGGCCCAGGTAGCTATGGTTGCATGCGCACAACACAGCGTTCTGAACAACCCTGTACTCTGTATCTCACCAACACGGCATTCTTTATTGATCCCATGTTTTAATCATAACCGTAACTTTTCTTCGGTTTTAACGGCATCACTGATAAGGCTTTATTTCTGTCGGTTGGACGATCAGCGCCCGGTGTACCCCGGTTACGTGTACCCCTACCGTGCGGCAGGGCCTGAGAACGCGGCCCGGGGGTCGCCCCGCAGCTCCCGCCGGGGCGGGCGCGGGGCGGGCGGAGCGTGCGCAGTGCGGGGAGCGCGGCCCGGCCCCGGCGCCGCCGGCACTGCCGCGTCCCGCGCTGAAGATGGCGGAGGGCGGCGCGGCGCCCCCGTCCTGCGCTGCCTCCTCCTCCTCCTCCTCCCTGAAGGGGCTGCGGGAGCAGATGGGTGAGAGCGGGCAGCGAGGGGGAAGCGCGGCGGGGTGGGGGATCCGGCCGACCGAGGGCGCGGCTGGTGGCGGAGGGGGGGTGCTGTCCCCCCCGGCCCCGTCCCGGGGCGTGGAAGGGGCACCGCGAGCCGAGGCCGCCCGGCCGGGTCCGTCCTTTCCCGCAGCCCCGGGCGGGAATTGCTGGCTCGGGACCTCCCGCAGCCGCTGGGCAGCGGCAGAGCAGGCTGCGGGGGGGCGGCGTTACACGAACCGCCCATTTTTCACCGTTTTTCGACTGTCTGAACTTGTCGGTGTCTGCGGCGGCGCCTGCCCCGGCGATGCGTCCGGTCCCGAGTGTAGAAGGCAGGGAAGCCCCTGGCGTTGATTCCTAATCAAGGATTGGATAAAGCCCCGTTTATATTTCATTCTATTCCATTCTATTCCATTCTATTTCATTCTATTTCATTTTATTTCATTCTCTTTTTTTTCTTTAACTAGTGTTCTCAGAGGGCCAAAGAAGCTCTGCTTTGGGTTTGTCCTTGGCTGTGTTTACGTGCCTATTAGTACTTAAGGTCCTTAATAATATCATACTCTGAAACGAGCGTTGTGCGTGTGTGGTGTGTGTTTGCAGCACAATTTCATGGCACTTCTCCACGCAAAAGCTTTGTGGGTGATCCATTAGAAAAGATAAACATTTTCTTATCCCAGACACAAAAAGATAAGGAAAGATAATTGTGGCTTGATCTAAGCTAACTAACTTGGACTTCGTACAAAAACTACTCTGAGAGCCTCTCGCTTGATTGTTTTCAGTGTGTCTGTGTAATTACACAAAGAAGAGTGCTGGCAAAGGTCCTGAATGCACAGCTCTCATCTGGCATTCTGAAGTGTGTTGGATGTCAGAAATATTACTTAATTACTTTTCGTTTCTGTTTCAAAATCAAGACAGTTTAGTGCTCCAGAAGGATAACGATCTGCCCAAAAGATAGCACTTCTCACCTGTACAGGCGGTGTCTATTTGATCCTTAAGCGTCCTGCCAGAACTGCTGCACTTTATTTTGCATATTGGATGCACTTCGACAGTGGCTCCTAAGTTCTTCTAAAGACGGGCACTTACATTTGGTGGTAGCTGTCGTGACCTAGATTTAGTCCCAAAACCAGAGGGGAAATGCTCCTTGAGCCAGGCAGCTCCATCTCACTTAATAGATATGTACATGTTCTAGTATGCACATGGTGTTAAAAAAACAACCCCCCTCCCTAGATCCTGGAAAGACTAGACCTTGAATTTTTTTTCCCTGAGGGGGTAGAAGTCACTGAACCAGAATCTAAACTTCAGTGTACATAGAATGCACTTCTAGCACTTGTGTGCTTGACGACAAACTCATTGCTAATGTGCATTGAATCAATGCTGTCTGAGTGTACAGGCCTGCTCCTGACTTCTCGTCAGTAGCACTCCCTGGAGAAAGCAAATGATGTTTAGAAATCATCCTTGCAATCCCGTGGTTAACAGTGGAATTGGCAAGATAATTGCCACGGTATTTGCTGCTGTTTGGAGAAGTTGTGAGCAGCAACCAAGTCTGATATCGCGGCTGTTTGGAGAGGATGTAGGAGGGGAAAAAAAGACACCAGAAGGAACCTTGTTTAGTCCCATGCTACCCTTGGGCAGATTTGGGGAGGGATATAACTTCCTGCTTTTCTAAGCTCAGTTGGGCTGCGTGGGGGGAACTCATCAGTTCCAAAATACCTGCAAACCGGAGTACTCGGGCGCAGTTTCTGCCTGTCTGTGGGCAATTGGGTGCTTTGCTGTCTTAATCTGGAGAGCAAACATCTAGACAAAATAAATACAGTGCTGTGCACCTTTAGTTGTTTACCAGTGAACTCCTGGTTGGGAATCTCACGATTTAAAGACAATAAGTAAGAATCAGAAGCATCTTGCTGAGAAACTACAGCTCTTTCTGGCAGCCTGGCTGGGAGTTGTATATATACCTTTTGTGTAGTTACCTTTTGCACAGGTTCCTTTTTGGGGACAAGACTGCTGGGTTCTTGTTCCCCACCTCTGTTCTCTGTTACCAGCCTCTTAATAGTGGTTTCATCTGTGGCTGGTTGGTGCTTGTTAATTATTTTAAGCCTTTAAAGTGTAGAATCCCACAGTGCCACTTGTAGCTAACTTCAGTATCAATGTGCTAAGTTTGGCAAGAAAAATATTCTCTTTGATTCAGGCTAGTATTGAGGTGAGGAAAAGGTGTTTCTCTGTATATCAATGATAATAAAGGTTCTGCAGGCCAAATCATGCCTGCAGTCTGAGTTCTACATTTCCTGTGTAATAATTTGCTACCCTGACACTCTTGTCCAATCTTATCTCCTTTAGGTGGGTGACAAAGAGCAGAATTTGCTACTACAAACAGGAGGCAGTTAACGTTTCTATCTGTGGTGCATGAACATCACTTAATATTAGAAGTGAATTGTGGTTCTACACTGTGAAACAACAGTGCATAGATGGCAGCTGCTTACCCCATTCCTGTGATCCATGCTTGCTGCTGTCATCCTTCAGGGATGAAGAGGAATTTTTGCTCCTATTCTAATACCATAAGCACTGCTGATCTCGTTAAGATTTGAGAAGAGGGGAATAATCAGTTACTTGTGGTTTACCCAGCAAGTGAGGTTTTCCTTGATTCATGTGGGTAATCAGAGTAAAAATACCTATAATTTAAGCTGTTGTAACCCACAGTTATTGTTTTATTTTCACTGAAATACTAAAATCTCCTGTCTTTTGTAGTATGGGTGGTAGAGAATATGTATTTGTTTTTATCAGAGCTTGGCTGTGCTGTGGCCAGGATTTCCATTCATACTGAATAGCTGTTGTGAAGGTTGTTCAAAACAGTGTATTAAAATGCTGTTTGTCTGTGTTTTCCTTTCCAAGATCTACATGATTTTTTGGGAAACCTGTCTCAGGACATGGGACAAAAACGAAGTGCCTTTTTCAAGCAGTCTGGCTGCAGGCACAGTTCCCATGACCTGCATGGCCGAGCCCAGCTTGGTCGGAAGTTGTCTGATAAAATAACAGCTTCATTCCGCCTAATCAGGTTTTTTTCTCCCTGTGTAAGTGACACTGTCTGGCTTTCTCCTTCTTGCCTGGAGCACAGTTACTGGTAACAGCTTTACCGAGTGCACATACACAGAATTTGCATGAAAAGAAGGATGGATGGACAACTAATAATGAAACTAAATTGCTCAAGCAATTAGTCAGGAACGCTGGGAGATTTGTCTGGTCTCTGGGTAATAGTTACAAAACATAATTTAAGAATGCAAGTTCGTACCAGCACCTGTGGAAGTGCTACTCTTGTGTACAGTCTTGGTGGCAAAATCCAAGCATTCAGTTGTTGTCTTACTCGATGGTGTTAAAATAAATGACTCGTGCTTATTCCACGTGTGGAGCAAAGGCAGCCCAGTGACTGGGGCACTCAGCTGGTGATCACTAGGGCTGCCTTCAGGTTCTTGTTCTGTCAGACTCCTCATAACTCTGGAGAAAGTTTTAAGGGGTTTTTGTACTTCATTCTTTTTCCCTGCATCAAAGTAGTAACATTGCTTTGCAGAGTGCCAGGGTGATAAATGCAAAGAACTGCACAGAAATTGGATTTCACGTAGATCCCAGTGGTGAGAGAGAACATTTCCAAGTCATACTGAGAACTTGATGCAATTGTGATGGCTGTGAGCTTTAATTTCATTTTCTTCTTGTTCATGGAAATACAATCATACAGGATAGACATAATTTCATGTGGATTCATAAAGGTAAATGCTACATATTAAGTGCTTAATATTCTAAAGATTACCTCCAGTTGTAAGTAGTTTATGTAAAGGTTTTACTCTAATATAAAACTTTAAGTTCTTGAGATTTTTCAAAATGCATTTGAGATTCTCCTTGCTGTAAAGAGAAAACAGAAACAAACAAAAAACCCAACCAAACTATGTGCATATAAGCAAATACTTTTTTTCAGTTCCTTATACAGAATGTTCCATTCCTTACATAATTTCTTCATATGCCAAAATTTAAAAAAGGTAAATTTGGATTCCATGCTTTAATTCAGATGCAAGTATTCAAGCAGTAATGACTTGCAAGGGTCATAACTGATGGTGAGAGCACAGATACTGTGAATTACACTATCCCTGGCAGTGCACAGCCTTAAAATGTGACTGGAATTAAGGACTTCTGCTTCGTCAAACACTTGTGATTTTCAAAACGAAAACAGTAATATTTAAAGTACTGTTACACTTACTGTCAGCTCTTAAAAGTGATAAGAGGGTAAAGAAGGGTTACTGTGGGTTGCTGTGATATAAATGTAAGAAATAATCTGGGTTAGTCATAATCTTAGGGGTTTCAAATGCTGCTGGTTGTCTTAAAACTCAATAATTGGAGATTCTTGCACTCCTCTTGTAAAAGGATACTCTGACAAATAAAACTCTGAGCATGCAATTTTAATGACTTCTCTTAATATGACTTATCAGATGACTTATGATATTTTAAAAACAAAGTGGGGCCTTCAAATTCTTGGTCTGCCACTAATAAATTAGTGCCATTTAGCTTCCAATTATGCAGTTTACAACCAGGTAATTCTTGATTGATGATACGCTTTTAGTGTGTTTTCAAATGCTTGTCGAATAACTAAAAGTGTTCTAGATGCAGGTGATTGTGTTGTTTGGCTCGTGGGGTTCATGGGAGAGAAATCAAATGTTGCTGGAAGTGTTTTTGTTTGAAAGAGACAGAAAGCTCAGCCGGGCTGCAGAAAGCTCAGCCATCGCCCCTGGATCCGTGGTGTTCACAGAGGGCATAAGTGGAAACAAGTCTTTGCTTTTAAGGAAGGCTGACCTAGTTGCTTGGCATTTGTTTTCATCTAAATTAATTTTATATTCTAGTCAGTTTGGAACTTCCCCTTTCTAGGTGAAGGATCCACAGCTGGAGTTGCCTTTGAAGAAAAGTTACCATTAGTTGTGCTCAGAATACCTCTGTCTTTCCTCATGGTGTTTT